CGACAGATTTGAAGGCCATTTCGTGCAGCATCGGGGCGCTAGCAGGACAGGGTGTGTGTGTGTGTGTGTGTGTTAGAGTGTGTACATGCCTGTGGGCGCCACTGGGTTCTTCTTCTCAAAATAAGGGCTGCTCAGTGGAAAGATGTCATAAGCCAGGCTGGGGCGGCCAGGGGATGGGCCAGCCAGGGAGGGCTGAGGCTGGGGCCCAGGCCTGCTCATGAGGTCAGGCAAAGGCCAGGTGTCAGAGCAAGGGAGTGCCGCCAAGGCCTGTTAGCCAAGGGCCAGGGTGTGTGGGGACAGGATTCTGAAGGTCAGTGTCTATGGGGGCCCTTCCTCGGGGAAGAGGTGGGCTCTTAGCTTCACTAATGGATGTGGTCTGGGGACATGGTGTTTATCTCGGTCCTTGGGGGATGGCTCTGGAGATGAGAGGCAGGGTGTAGGGTAAGTGGGGACCGGGAAGGGTGAAGAGGTAGACAAGGAGAGAGGACAGAGAGATTGGGCAGCCATCCTTAGATGAGAACTAACAGACACAGATGCCATCAGTACACAGATGAGCAGAGCAACCAAAAAGATTATGGTCAGGGACCAGGGACCAGGTCCTGGGGCCAGCCTAGACACTCAGGAGGAGTTGCCTTTCCTCCAGCCAAGCCAGAAAGCTTGTCAGACTTTAGGGAACAGGCACATTTCACAGGAGAAGCTGAGCTGGTCAAGACAGCTGGAAAACTCTGAGGGGTGGGGTGGGGTGGGGGGGTTGAGAGTAAATACAATCCCGGACCCAGGCAATTTTGCCTTTTGCTATAATGCCAGCTCCCCACACAGGGAAGACCCTGGCTGTGGGGAACTAGCAAGATGAACGAGGCCTCAGGGTGAGGGGCTAGATGGAGTTTGAAGTAGCTATAGTGACTGAGCAGTGACATATAAGGGTGACAGATAAGGGTTGTTGGAGCAGGAATTCACTCATGTAGAACAAGGGAGAAAAACCAGTGTCTCCCAGAGGGTTACCATGATAGGACCACCTGGGGTGTGTCATTGAACATGCTCCCTGCCATTCATTCAGCCTGGTGGACTGGGCTTCATCTGACTTCATCCTAAGGAGCTGAACTTCAAATGGCCAGCCTGGAAGCTTCTCTTTGTCCAAGTAAGGAATTCCTTCCCTCGAAGGAAGGGACAAGTCTTTAACCCTTGGCCCTTTTCCAGTTATTCCCCAGGCCTAGGAGCCCCAGGACTTTCTACTTCCCTCTCACAATCTTCAAGCAAAGTAGTTCACAAAATTTTCCAAAGGATATTGTTACCCAAACTCAAGACATATCTTATGCCAAAGAATGAGTCTCTACTGGCCTGGAGAAACCAGAGGGTAGGGATGTTGGAAGAACCCTGGAAAAGTTGGTCAACTCGTTTTCAAGTTCACTGTATTGTTGGGAGCCCCAAAGACTATTTTTGTAAAATGTCCCCCTCAGTTTGCTTTGTTATATCTCCGAAGGACAAGTTGTCTCTCTAAATGTCCTCCAAAAATCTTTTTGAAAGTGTGCTGCATGTGTGAAACTGTGTGTGTGAGCCCATGGAGGCCGGAAGTCAATGCTGGCCTCTTCCTTGGTCTCTTTCACCCTGTTTTTTGAGGTGCTGTCTCTCCATGAAATGGGAGCTCACTGATTCAGCTAGGCTGACTGGCCAGCAAGTCACAGGGATCTGCCTGTCTCTGCCTCTCCAGTGAGCCACCGTAACTGTTCAAAAACAGTGATGATGAAGGTGAAAAAGAAGACAGAGGAGGAGAAGAGAGGAAAGCAGAGACAGAAGATAGTGCCAGTGGGTAAAAGTACTAACTATGAAGCCTAATGACCTGGGTTCCATTCTAGGAACCTTCATGGTATAAAGAGAGAGCTGACTCCTGCAAGCTATTCCCTGGCCTCCACATGCATGCCACGTACACATGTCCATACACATACAAATAAATAAATAAATGTAAAAGAACTCGAGGGCACTGTGGTGCTCTAATCCCAGTGCTCAGGAGGCAGAGCTAAGAGGATCTTAGCTCTCAGTGAGTTTGAGCCCAGCCTGGTCTAACAGTAAGTTCCAGGCCAGAGACCCGCTCTTAAAAAACCAAAACCAAAGTATTAATAATAACAACAATAATAAAGATAACAACAATAATAATATAAATAATAATATGAGGGAGAGAGGGAAGGCAGGAGGAAGCAGGGCTGGGAGTGTGACACACTAGCCTGTGTGAGAGTCTGGTTCACTTCCCCAGCACCACAGAAACAACACAAACCAACCCCACAGACACATTGCTAACACTGGAGGGAGGAATTCCCAGTTGCAAAAGGAGCCTGCAGATGAAATAAGAAGTCTGTGGGTGGATGCTTCCAGTGATAACACACAAATGCACAAGGCATGTGCAATTCAGGAAAGGACAGAGAGCTTGTGTGAACACAGAACATCAGAGCCTCACAAGCTCTTCCCACGATGTCTCAGGCTGTTCTGGGACCAGCTGGGTCTCTGTCACAATTGATGAGGATGGCCACACGTGTTCCTGTGTGTGTGCCTATGGTAGTGTTGTCTGCCTCTTTCTCCCTTTAAAATTTAGGTGAGGCTATGAAACTCAAACTAGCCAGTGTGTTATAAGTAGAAAAGGCTTGTGCCGCCTGCAGACAGACTCCTCAGAATTGCTGTGCCATTCTCCAAATGTCTTCTTCCTGCCTCTGCAGCCATAATGCTCATGCCAGGTTTTCCTTCATGATGA